AATAAATATCTTATTACTGCGAAATATATGGTGCTGACTTACAACACCTATACACGGTACGACATAACAATGAAATGTCTTCCCATAAGAATGGTTATCTTATTATTGGGAAACGTACGGTACTGACTCACAGCAAGTATCGGTACGACTTGCCGTAACATTGAAATGGCTTTCCATAAAAATAGTTATCGTTTCAATGGGAAACGTACGGTACTGGCTTACAGCATCTACACTGTACGGCATGCCGGCCGTAACATTGAAATGGCTTTCCATAAAAATAGTTATCGTTTCAATGGGAAACGTACGGTACTGGCTTACAGCATCTACACTGTACGGCATGCCGGCCGTAACATTGAAATGGCTTCCCATAAAAATGTTTATGGCATTACTTACTTACTGAAATCTTAATGGTACTAAATTACGACACAGGTACCCCTGACGACATGTCATACCAATGGAATTGATTATATGAATGGTTATCGTACGGTACTAATATTGAAATGACTTTCTATAAGAATGACATTTTCTTTTGAACGAGGGAAAATGAACATGCGGAACTGATTTTATCTTAATCATTCAACTCACTATATTTTTATCCTCGACAGACTCGTCATTATGCGCGCCATTTCGCGTTTCGCTATCTACCTTTGCCTTCTAGTACTGTTGAATGATATTGGACCTGCGCACTTCAGACGAATAAGATCACGTGATTATTTTTCGGATTCTACTGCTGACGCGAAAGAGAAGAGCCATACCTCTGTAGCAAAGGCAGGAAGCAAAAAGAGGTTGGGGATAAATTAAAATATTACGATTTCACAACAATTTTGAGTTCTAATCTAAAAATTAAGTTTTAACTAAGCCGAAGATCCAATAGTCCCTTTCACAGTTCCCTACGCCATCTTGAAAGGTAGCCACGCCTTTGTATTAAAGCGAGACGAATGGTGAGCTTACAGTGATAAAGACCTGTTTTTTAACACGTTGGACAATTATTAAATGTCTCTATCATTGCAAGCTCACCGTTCGTCTCGCTTCGATGCAAAGGCACACACTGCTCACACCTCTTTTCTTATGGAAACTGAATCCACAGTTGATTCGCCTAGTTCTGGGATCATCCTCTAAACAGGGACGGTCTCGCAGACAGGAAGATCCTAGCACCAGGGCTAAAGTTCAAACCGTGTTCACCATATGAACTGAATGCATTGTTGATTCGCCTATTTCTGGGATCATCCTCTTCCCATGTAATAAACAGGGCCTACGATCTCCCTTTCTCGCAGATAGGAAGATCCTAGCACCAGGGATAAAGTTCAAACCGTGTTTACCATGTAAACTGAATGCATGGTAGATTCGCCTGCAAAAAAGGTCCTAGTTCTGGGATCAACTTTCTCCTACGTAAAAATGGCCTTAATTCCCCGCTTCGCTTTAGCATGTTTATATATATTTTTCCTTCATTCTATCTAGGTACTCGTACAAAACTATTGGAGTGGGGGTTCAAGGTACTTAAACACAGTAGCACGTTCGTGTAGGGCTACACGTTTAGTAGTCAAGGTTGATTATATGTTACAGCGCTAAGTAAGAGTTAATTATGTTACCGAGAATGCAGGCAATAAGCCATATACATCTACGACTGATGAATTGAACTGAATCGCTTATTATAAATGCACGGTCAATATATAGTTATTAACCGGGTTAATAACTATATATTGACCTTGCATTTTTAATGAGAGTTATAACAAAAATAAAGCCTTTTGAATATCAAAGAAAGCCGTGTCACTTGACAAATAAACGAATTTAATGTTTTGCATATTCCTATCAACTGTTTTTGTTCTTTGTTTTTTGTTTTGTTTTGTTATTATAATTACTTTTTTTGCTGCTAAAGAAACTTTTACACGCCTCATTTCGTAAAAATAGGAAGCTTCGCTATGAGATGCGTCGCGATAGGTTGAACGTACGGAAATTCGTAAATAAAAGAATACAAATGCATTATCGTTGACCATGCATAATAATAATGATGATGATGATGA